CTGGAGCTTGAAAGGTCCCTGTGAATGCAACACGGTAGCTGTGTATGGCTGGTGTCCTGGGAGTGCTTCCTGGCAGGTTGCCTTGTGACAGCACAGATGAGCCCCTGCTCCTTGGCCTCTTGTCTAGCTGCGTTCCCTGAGCTGGTGAAAATCCATCTGTGGACAGGTGGGCCCAGGTCCTGGGCCCGTGGGAGATGGCCAGGGACTGAGTGCAACAGGGGCACAGGAGGTAGATTTTGGCTCCCTTTTGGCTCTCAATTATTTTCATCCTGGCCATCTCAGCCTTAGAGATGTCAGCACCCGCAGGTTGCCATGGAAATCACACTTCTCCATATTTCGTTTTACTTACTCTGGAACATGATACCTGAAAGCACACGACATTAAGAAGGAGCATTGCACATCACCTTCACGGCACTGGTAGCCAATCTGCTGGCTGTGCCCTACCTGTTTCATCCTGACAGAGGATGTTCTTGGCCCTCTGACTAAATGGTCCTTGGTTTGTTTAAGTCTGGGGTCCAGAGCTGTCTGTCCCCACTCCAGAATCCCTGCACCCTAAATGCAGTATCCTTACTGCCGCATTTCCTTGCAGCACCTTGGTGTGCTGCACGTGTGCTGTGGATTCTCAGCTGACCTTTGGGTGGGTGTGAAGGCCCTGCTCTGGATCTGTCACCAACTCTCATCACTGTAAGAAGGTGGAAGACACGGCCTCACTGGCCTATGTGTGGCACTCTCTTGTCTTTCAGGACTGAGTGTTCACAGTGTGTCAGACTGCAGACTCCCTGGTTGGTACTGGGAGGAGTTAGCTCTTGGCTGCATAATGAGCTTTAAACTTGCAGCAGCTAGAGGTGGGCTGTGTCCTCTCGGCGATCCATGAAGGCCAGGGTCTGGGCCACATAGTGATGTCCAGGCTCTTTCCCCATGTCCTGGGTCAGGCACTGGAGGTTGGGACCCTGAACCAGGGACTGACAGCCTTAGGTGCCGACCTAGCTCCCAGAGGAGTCAGGGCTGCCACTGGAGATGGTGCCTCTCATCTGAACATCCAGGAGCTGGTGCTTGCTCCATGCATCTCTCCTGGACCTAGATTATTTCCTGAGGATGGGTCTGTTATTCACTGCTGATCAGGGTTGCCACTCAGCCTCATGGGACACTATGTAGCTTGGGGAGACAGTTGCGCGGGGGAGGGGGGGATTCCGCTAGTGTGAGGCTCCTGTCACCGTTCTGTTGACACCTTTGGTCAGGACACCCTTTGTACCCTTCACATTATTGTGCTTAGGGTCGTGGTGTCTGCTTCTGGTGTGAATGATTCGAGGAGGAGCCAGAGGGAGGTGCATGTCGCAGAGACACTGCAGCCTGCTGATTTCCAGGTGATGAGGGCTAGGCCACCTCTGGGCTACACTCTGCAGGCGACCTGAATGCAACAAAGCATCTCTGGGACCACCGTGTGTGTGGAGACCCCGTTTTCAGAGGATTGTGCACAGTCGCTTCTTTCCCTGGGAGGCACTGACACTGAGTCAGAACAGTTTGGAGTCCAGGTATCTCTAGGTCAGACCACAAAGATGAGGAAATGATAGGGCCAGGGATTTGGATTTCCAGGTTATTATTATGTCAGCTAATCTTTTCTCATGGTGAGAACAAGCACTTTCCCCATGGGGGAAAAAGAAAGCTTCTGGCCTCTCTCCTGGGTCCTGGCATAGCTCCTTAGAATTTCTTGAGTATTAGAGTGCTTTATCTTATTCACAGGGAGCCCTTCTTCCTTCACACCCACTTATGCTAGTGAGATGACTCCTAAATAGTTTTAGGATCGGACTTTTCAGCAGAAAGACACAGAGATCAGAAGGATGGAAATGTCAGTCCTACCCGCTGGCCTCTGGATAGTGAACTTGGAGGGGCTAGGGATTGGTGTGTGATAGCTTGTGATAGTTTGTGGTAGTAGTGCTGGAGAGCTCCAGGTGGGTGGACTCATGCACACCAGCTCTATTGGGATGGAGCTTCTGCACTTAGGGATGTCATCTTTTGTGATTTAGATCTAAAATGTCCCCTAGTGAATCCCTGAAACAATGGATAACCCTGAGCCCATTTTGTGTTGTTTTTTTCCTATGCATACATATTTGTGATGAAGTTTAATTTATAAACAAACACACTAAGAGATTAGCAATAACTAATAGGGCAGAGCAGTTACAATAATGTACTGATAAAGTTACATGAGTGTGATTTCTTCCCTCTCATAACTATCCTATTGCTTTCTATTTCTTACTCTTAACGGTACTCGAGTGTCCACTTGAGGGATATTTCAAGAATGTAGTGATGGCTTCTCTTCAGGGTATCCAAATTGTAGTAAGGGTCATTTGACACAAGTATTGCAATATGGGAGCAGTTGACCTGATGACCAAGACATCTACTACCTGGAAGTGACTAAATGGATGGGATGATTCGAATCTCAGGTGAGATGGGCAGGACAGCTTATCACACTACTCAGGTGGCATATAATTTAAGACTTTCAAGTTGTTATTTTTCTAGAACTTTCCATTTAATATTTTAAATAGCTGAACTTGACTGTGCACTGAAAGGTCAGCATGAATAATGTAGATAATGTCAGAACTGAATCAGACTGCAAAACCCGCTGGTGTCAGAGTTGGTATCAGAATCATAACTGCTCTGCCTGGTGGGACGAACAGACCTTGAAGTCTGAATCAGGTGCAGGGTGCTTCATTTTCTTATCAACAGTGTAGGCATGAATAACATCTTTTGTAGGCATGAGGAACATCTTTCTAAAGGCTAAGTGACAAAGGCTAAATAACATCTTTCTGAAGGCTAAATAACATCTTGCTAAAGGCTAAGAGACCCAGCCCAGTCTCTGGAAAGCTTGTACATCTGTCAAGACTTGTATACGTGCTGAGTCACAGGTTGATTAAAATATATGGGCAGTGCTTTTGAGTATACTGAGACCACATATCTGTTACTTTGAATCCATTGCATTGAGGTTTGATATATCTTCCTGCTTGAGTGTACCAAGAGTAAGTGTTATGCATCATTTATGCATGTGGCTTTGGAGTGATTAGGCCCTCACCGTGTGAGGCAGACACCATCAGCTCAGCCCCACACCTAAGAACCTGTCTTGGTGTAAGCTGGTGTGCTGGCTCCACTGCTGTGGGCTGTCCTGAGCTGGAGGGCTCCAGACTTGTCAGGTTCTAGGTGTTTCGTTCTGGAGTCCTTACTCACACAGAGGTGGGCCTGAGGCATTCTGGAGGCTGATGGCAGCCCTTCTGACATGGTCCTGCCAGTGCAGAAAGAACGCTCAGGGCTCTCAGAACCAGCCACAGAGTCCCGAGTAGGATGAATATGCCTATACCTGCTTGTGGCTTCTGCCATTGGAAAACTGAAACCAAGTTAGGTTTTACAAAAGTTCCCTTTGGATTTCCAGAAGTATGTATAGTGATATTATAACTTTTTAAAACATTTCCATACTTTTGGGCATTTTTTACTTTTCTGCGATGAGCATTTATTTATTTTAATGAAAAAAGTCTCAAGTACTTTTAGTTGTGCATTGAGTTTCAGTCTGGGGCTCAGGGAGGTTCTGGCGAGCTGTGGCACTGTTTTATGCCCCAGTGTTCAGGCCACCTGCCCCGTGGCCTTGTCCAGGAGAGCCCTGGAGGGGCCAAATGGTTGGAATGGTGGCTTGGGCTGTCAGCTGCCTCTGCAGTGTGGCTATGGCTCCCATATGGCTCTCTTGACCCCCAGTGTGCCTGGTATCTGACATGTGACTGTTTTGAAACCAGGAATGGGTTCTGGTTGGAGGGAAAGGAACTAGTCAGCCCCAGTGCTGGATTCTCCAAGAGGCACCCAAGTAGCCACGTGCTGTGGCCCATGATTTGCCTGCTGTGTCCCTTGTCACTCCAGAGAGTGCTTTGAATCTCCCAGGGGACTTACTTTCTGTCCTCGGAGTTTGAACTTCTATGGGACTGGCAGAGCTGCTACACTGGGTATTTCCCATTCTCTCACCCTGCTGCTGTCTCTGTCCTGCACTGACCATTCTGTCTCTCCACAGACTCAGGCTGTCCTGGGAAGCTGCTCCTTTCTCCTTAAGCCAATGACAAGGGACATTTAAGGCCTTATCAGTGCACAGACTATCACAGGGCATTTTATATGATTTTTCAGAAGTTGATTTCAAATCAAAAGTTTGATTTCTGAAAGTGTTGCCAGTCTTCCTTTCTGCCTCCCTGCCTTTCTACCTGCCTGTCTGCCTGCCTTCTTTTCTCCCTCCCTCCCATTCGTCCATCTATCTGTCTGTCCTTCCTTCCTTCTTTCCTTCCTTCCTTCCTTCCTTCCTTCCTTCCTTCCTTTGTACCTTCCTTCTTTGGGAAAACATAGACCACCTTGGGTAGTCTAAGCACAGCCTACCACCAAGCTTAGGTGATAGACAGGTTCTACTTTTCTCAACAAGTCAGAGTAGACAAGACAGTTCTGCATAATCTTAAAAGCGGATGAAAAGAACCAATTCTGTGATTCCTTTGAGACACCCCTCAAGGCATTTCCTCAAAGCAATGTGTCTCCAGTACTCTCTTTCTGGCACCCCCTCTTGCCCAGAGAGGCTGAGAGCCGTGACTCCAGGCTGTGTTTCTGTTAGCTTCCAGACCCAGCTCTTCTGTCTGTATCATGTGAGCACTTTGGTTTCTGCAGGAAGGCCCGCTTCTGATAAATGCAGGTAGACACAAGGTGGTTCTGAACAGAAGTGAACCAAAACAGCTAAGCTGGTTGCCCTCAGGCCAGGTATTGAAGTTTGTTATATCTTAATTGGGGGCTGTTTTGATTATTCTAAAAGGTCCTTTCATTTTCTCTGACAAATAAAAATAATTTGTGATGAGATTAAAACTGTCCTCCTTTAAAAGTCAGAAGGGCATGTCTGTTGTTTGCTTGGAGGTGCTCCTTGCTGACGTGCCCTGTAAAGCTTTTTTGCTGAAATGCACGCAGTTTCTGAAGCCAGTGCCTTCTCTGTTCTCCAGATGGTCTTTCTGGCCGAGACCAGCCTGTGGAGCTGCTGAACCCTGCCCGTGTGAACCACATGCCCAGCACGGGTAAGTATGCACACATTGCCTGTGGTTTGAGGCTCTGCTTGGCTGGGGGGGTGTGGCCGGAAGGGTGAGGTGTGGGTTAGCAGGTTCCTTGCGTTGTGGGCACTCTTACCCTGGGTCTTTTTGAAGATGAAGTGGACGTTGGCTTGCTGCAGTCTAAGTGGCAGAGCAGCACTGAGCTGAAGGATGTCTTCTGCCCAGAGACTGACTGCTTGTTTTAGCTTGAAGTCCAGGCAGTGGTCCAGCAAGGGTCTGTGGGAAGAGTTCTGAGCATGTGTGGGCTGCAGCCTGGGCTTAGGAGTCCCATTCTGTGGTGTGGCCAGGCTGCTGGCCAGCCTCATGTCCTTGGGCAGCTCACACGTCGTTCATGGGCCTGGGGTTCTGTTGGTAAACTGATTCAGAGATTGCTGTCTGTCAAGCACCTTTTTTTTTAAAACAAAAATATTGACTAATTATGTCTCTCCATAGACAGTATTTCTAAGTACTATGCTTGAGGTAATGTTTTCTAAGCCTGTGTTTTTCTGTTTCCTTCTTCTGTAAAGCCCCGCCCCTGAAGGCAGAGTTCTTCAGGTCTTGAACTCACAGCATGAGCTCCCTCCCTCCAGGGCCCTGGTCTTAGGATAAAGTCTGAGTCTGCTGCAGACCTAGGGCTAAGTGGACTGCAGACCTTGTCCCATATACGTGCCGTTGCCATGTGTGAGGCTCGGTCTCCAGTCTTCCTTCTATTGCCTGCCTTCTTCAGCATCACAGCCCCTTTCCCTGGGCACCCCAGGGCACCAGACCTGCCCACCTCATCCCCAAGGAGAGGAAACTGGCCAGGGGATACTTCTTCTCTGAGGTGGATCAAGGGTCTTTGTGGCATTTTTCCAAGCACAGAGCCCAGAAGAGTCTATGGCCCTGAAAAGTGCTCCTTTGCTTTCTGAGGCCTGGTCTGCCTCGCAGTCCTGTTCATTCCTCCTGTGCAGACAGCTGACCACCCCATGTCACAGCGTGTCTGGGAACTTTAAATGCCCTGGAGAGGTGCTCATTTTTAAAAGTCTGCCTCATTCAAGCAATTTTTTGCTTTCTCTAGAGTTCACTTCACCTCTTATTTGTGTTTACACTGAGTCCTTGTGTAAGCTGGACATTGTGAGGCTTCCCAGTCTCTTAGTGTTGGAGTGTCTCAATGGACTGTTCCATTCTGCTTCTCAGATGTCTCAATGGACTGTTAGAAGACAGTGAATGTGTACTGTTTCCAAGCAAACTGGAAATGATGGCTTTCCCTGGGATTTTCTGACATGGGAAGTGTACCCTGCCTGGTAGCAGAGATCTGCTCCCTGCCTTAGTGTGAGAGTGGACCATGGACTTCAGAGCGGACATGCTGCCACTTGTGGGCTTTGTAATCTTAGCCATGTTGCTGAGTGGCTCCGTTTTGTTTAGATGAAGATTATGCCTCTCCAGAGTTCTCACAAAGATCAAATATATTTGTCAGCTTTTATATGTGTCAGATATGTGTGTCAGTGGTTACTCAGTGTCATTTCTTAATGTCACTTTAACTATTACTGAAATGGTGCAGGAGGTGGCTGTGGTGGCCAGTTCCAGGACCAAACGTTTGCTGTTGTTGTTCACTCCCCTTCCCTCCTGGGAAGAAGTGCCCAGCTTGCAAGATTAAGAGCCAGGAAGGGTGCTCCTGCCAAATCAGTGGTCCTCATCACCCCGTATAACCAGAGTCCCACTGCTCGGTCGAAGGACAGTGTGAGTTTGCCTTAGAACTGCTGACGGCGAGGGCGCTCTGGCCACTTGAGCCCAGTATAGAAAGCCTCAAGGAAATACTCATCTCAAGTTAGGAATTACTTTAGAAACTGATACGAGAATATCTTTAAAGCCACATTTTTTAGATGTGGAAACGGAAACATGCTTTCGGTGTATTTTTTCTGTTGATCCCAATTTGTACATTTCCTGACAGTTGGACTTAATTTCTCTTGTTCTTTTTACATGTGGAGGTATGAAACACACATGTAAGGTAAAACTGAGGAAGGACTCTAATCAGAGCTTGTTCCACACACAGATGTTCTCCTGCGAATGTGAGCAGTGCTCAGATAGCCCCATTGCCCCAGTTCCTTGACTATTCCATCATGAGTGATGGTGTGCTTGAAGCAGTTTCCTGATCACCATTCTTTGTAAATGCTCTTAGCGTCTAACAAAGTTTCAGTTCGAATAAAAAGAGCTTTTGCTCGTATCCTCATTTTGTGTGCCATCTTGAATTGAGACTTCCAGCTCCACCGGGAGAGTATATCCATTCGCTGAAAAATATCTGTGCTGGATGAAAATGCTATTTGATTGGGATTGTCTGAGTTTTTTCAACTTCCTTCCTCTTTTGTGTAAATGAGACTTTTCTTTTTCTTTTAGATTTTGTATTCTCTTTTTTCATTGTTTAAAAAATCTTAGGGTTATGGTATAACTCAGTGGGAGAGGGTTTGCCCAGCATGCATAAGAACCTGGGTTCAGTTTCCAGCAGCACACAAAGAAATTCGTTGTAAAGTAGTTCTAAGATAGACAAAGAAAGACAGGAAACAAGTGTTCATTTGCCTTCAAAACAGACTTACAGACTTCTTGTTTTTTTAAAGAAATGAAACATTGCCATCAAGACCAGGCTGTATCATCTCCCTTCCCACCAATGGTCATGTCTTGTCAGTGGATAGAAGAGCAGCGCCAAGGGGGACTCAGTACAGAGGCAGAACTGGTGTGGATGTGGCTGGGCGGTGGGGCCTTGTGGACTGGGGCTCTCACCAGGGCTTCGTGTCACCCACAAAGAGGGGAGGCAGTGTTCTGAGTCCAGTTTGGTGGGAGAGGAGATGTTGGAGCTTGAAGACAGAGGACAGGGTAGGAAGTAGTCACCTAGGAGAGTGAGTCTTATACAGGCCAGCTAACACTAAACTGGTGTGCATCAATGGCTTAGCCTGGAGGGAGCCTTAAAAAAGCTAGTAAATCATTTGTTTCTGAATCATTGTAATTTTTGACTCTTCTCCAATTATACTATAGAGAAATGGCACTGTACCACACACGTGCTGAGTGTTGGTCTCCAGAGCTGCAGGGTGAGTCAGCCCCGAGCTGGATGGCGCAAGCACTGCTAACCCTTGAGCGACCTCACAGAGAATACACAGAGAAGCACAGGACCCAGAGAGCAGCAGGACACGTGTCTGAAGCCCTTGTGGGACACTGGGTGGCACACTAAGGGCTTCATCCAGTGTCCTTCCCTGCGCTTGTGCTGTCACCCACCTGTCTCAGTCTGAAGGAAGGCAGGATCACTTCTCCAGGGCCACTCAGTGTAGAAGCCACGTAGCAAGGACCATTTCTTCCAGGGCTGTGCTACAGGAATAAAGACTCCTTTGAAGACACTGTCCTTCTGCCACAGAAGGAGTGGGGCAGAGGACCCGCCGCCCCCTGATGTCCCTAAAAATGTGTCGTGCACAGTGCACTTTCCATAGCCCTTGGGACCCGGCAAGGCTGCACCTCTTGGTGTGCACTCCTGAAAGCATTTTCCCCTCCATGAGCTTTATTTAAGGTTTCACATCAAAAATACAGTTTTTAAGAGAAAATTCCAGAATTTTGAAGAGGAGAAAGTACAGAAATGGAAGAGAATGTCTGTAAAATAGCCAAAGTTATTACTTTGCTTTAGCTATGGATTCCCAAATCACATAGGAATGTGACCTGTACTCCTAAAGAGCAGTCACTGGGCTTCTAGACACCGTGCTGAATTTTGGGTTAGGGGCTGCCCAGGCTGTCAGGAATCTGAAGCTCAGTTTGCCTCCCCATAGTGGCTGCTGCCTGGCTTAATGAGAGGAACTTGAATCACATACCCAGGTAAGAGTGTGAGTACTGGGGAGGCTTGGAAAGTCCCCGCTCAGAAGCCCAGGGGTCACTTTAACAGGCACAGCCTTGCCCACTGGTTGTAGCTGCAAGTGTCCTTCTATTCTCATTGGAAACTGCTCTGTGTGTCCAGTGTGGAGCTGGAGTCCCTGGCAGGGACAGGGTGGAGTGAGGAACTAAGGGTGACCTTTGGTGGTCTCTAAGGTTGGCCCTGCTGACACCCCAGCAAGGTTGGGGGACAGAAAGCACTCTAGCTCCTCGCTGAGGGCCCATCTTGGTTCCCGAAATTCGTACTATCCTCCCGATTGCCCATCTTGGTGATTGCCCCTCTGTAGTCCCCCCGCTGCCAACAGGAATGTGCTGGCGCACAGAGGCACATAGCTATACCCTTGTCCTGTGCTGTCCACCCACTGGCACAGCATGCCACCTGGTTGCCTTTTAATGTTGATTTATTTAAAAGTTTTTTGGCTGCACTTTAGTTTTTTTTGAAGTACAATAACATATGTGAATAGCAATTGTCTTCCTTAGGTTACATCAGCTTAAATTTTGTTTACACACACACACACACACACACACACACACACCCTTCCCACTGCCTCTTCAGAACAGCCGTTTCTCTGGCTGTTTGCTTGCCTCCTCCTGGGAAAGGTCTCTGGCTTGTCCCCTCCCTGCCTCCAAGGTGCTGTCTGCTTACCTGAGCTCTGCCTTCTGTGCTGTCCTTGCTGACGAGCCTGCTATCTGCTCATCCTTAGGAGCCATGGGCCCCTCTGAGACTGTGGGACCCTTGGGGTCCTTGCAACTGAGGCTTAAAGGCCCACCCTTTCCTTATACCCCCACCCTGGGAGTGCTGGAGCTGGGGGCCACGCCCCAGTGCAAGATGGCCAGGGAACTGCCCACATAGCCAGTGACAGCTTAGTCCCTGTTTCCAGCGCTGTGCCCTCTCCTGGAAAGGGGTTTCCAGCTTTGCTGGCTGCCTTGGTAAGAGAATCCTGGGAACCCATGCTCCATGAGCAGATGTTCTATCTCTTACTTTGCGGTCCTGATGCCACCAGCCTATGCCCCTGAGCCTCGTTGCCGTTCCCTTGGCCACCTCTTGCTCAGGAGCGAGTGCAGTGTCTGATGGGACAGCCTCCCGGATTTTATCCACGGCTTTT